GAATGGCAGGGGCTGTTACATGCTCAACTGAGTTGAAGTAATTCATCCTGGACTGAGACCCAATAGCATCAAATGGGATTGACTCTCAGGAGGGACCATTTTCTTACCAATTCAGGAGGTTGCCCCTTTGTGTTCCCTCTTAACTTTCAGATGACATCATTTGCATCAACCTCTCTTACTGTACAAATCATCCACTTAGAGTAATTGTCAGGAATAGTTCATCAGCTGTAAGGATCACATGTTGCTTCCTGAGAAGCTGGAAATAATGTGAACTCCTCTGTTGTTAATTTTTTTGGCCTACACCAAATCTCATTACTGAATCAATTGAGTTTGTTGAGAGTTTAACATTAACTTTAATGCTAATTCTTTGTCCTGTTAATAGTCAAGCCAATACAGGCACCTGCTGTCTCTGTTAAGCTAATGAGTCAGGGAAAAAGATGGGAAGGATAGCAGGTGAGGCCAGTTCTTCATCCCCGAGTCTCTGGGCTGCCCAGGCAACTTTCCTGTAACTGTAAATGGCAGTATTTTGCTTTTCAATGTTTCTTTCGTCTGTACTGTGTTAGCAGACTGCCATTCCCACAGGAATGGCCCCTCTACTTTGTCTTTCAAAGACTGTGCAGGATGAACTCGAGCAAACAGTCTTACGGCAATTCCAGGCATAGCTACTCCATCAATTTCTATTGTTGATTCAATCTCTTTTTGAAAAAGTTGTGCGGAGTTGGAAACACAACTATGTGTGTTGCACAAAGCAACAAATGGTTATAGTGCCTGAGAAAAGGGAAGGCGCAGGTTACAAGACGCATTTAAAGAACTTGTGGGGGTGGGGAAGGAGGGGGCGCTTCTGAAACTCCTCTAGCTGAGAAATGCTAAGCTAATGAGTCCATAAAGAAGTGAAAAAAGGGTTTGTAAAAATTGTAGCACTATGAATTCAAACAAACATTATTATGCCTAAGTTTGCCTCATCAGGTGAATTATTGCTCTCAAGTCAAAGGACAGGGAAATTATAACCAACCAAACAGATTTTTTTTTAAGTTGATAGCTTAGAATACAGGACATCTGTGGAAGCAGAGCGAGACACTGCACCTTACTTATAGGAATCCAGGAGAAAAATAACATTCATCCGCCAATGTGGGCTTGTTGCTGGTATGTTTTTTAAACAGCCCAACTGTTTTAAGGAACAATTTTATGGAACATAATGAATTAAGTTTAGCAGTCAAATTATTTCTCTCCTAATCTCTCTCTCTCTCTCTGTGTGTGTGTGTGTGTGTGTGTGTGTAAATTATTCATTCTCTGAGCCTCAGTGTACTCCTCTGAAAAGTGGGGGTGATTTAAAGAGAAAAAGCTGTGGAGTACTGAGCCTAGAGCCTGGCGCTTCCTAGCCACTACATTCATTGGTATAATTTTAGGAAACTTGCCTGCAAAGACCATGTCCTTTCTGCTTCTTCGGTTCACCAGCTGAAGCACAACACACACCATTCCTGCTTCCTTTGTTTCCTTCGGGTGGCGCTTCCTAGATCTTTGCCTCCCTTGCTTTTTGTTGCTGGCCAGGCACAAAGCCTCCCAGCTCTGGGTGGTGGAGACTGGGTTATTTTCCAGGCTCTTTTGAGGATTCCCCAGGAGGACTATGTCAGAGGTGCTAATGAGTCTCTGTTTAAACGTCCCCTCGCAATTGGGACAGAGAGAAACACCTTGCACAACAATTAGCTTTTCACAGCCATTAGCAATTTGCAGTCATTAGCGCCATAGAAACACTGCAAATAACACCCAGGAAGCAAATACGACTGTAAGGTGCCACAGGGCTTCTATGCTGGATCAGCCCTCAGCAAGGCAGGGGTCTGAGAGTCTAAGGTCCCCTGTGCCCACTTACTCCAGCAAATGGGTTTTGTGATTTGAAGTGCCTCTGCTCTTTCCCATATCTTTGAAAATGGCTCTATCAAGCCCATTATTTGTTTCAGTGAAACATAAATCTTTCACAAGAAAAGTCCAGAAGATGTAGTGCATAATAAAGCAATTCTGAATTCCTTCAAGACCAAAAAGCCTAAAGGAGTCTGGAAGGAGTGGTGTGAATAATTGAAATTTGAGAGGAGTGAAACCCCAATGCAATGCAATAATTTACCTCCAAAGCTCTTCATGGCAGCATTGCTAAATACCAGAACCATCTATATCTGTAACGGTAGGGATTGGTTAAATAATTGTGCTGTACCCATTGAATTGAACATAATACAGACTTTAGAAATAATATTCTGGAATTTACAGGCAGATTATATCAAAAAGATTATAAAACCTTATTAATATTTCCTTTTTATTGTAAAATATGATATGCACCTTCTAAAATATTAGTGATGATTGTCTCTGGGTGCTGGAAATGGGAATAGATGATTTTGAAATTTTTAATTTTGCTGTTCTATGTTATTTTTCTAAAACAAGTATAGATGTATGTGTAATCCTTTTAATTAGAGAGAAGAATAAAGACAGCAGAGTGAGAAAGTAAGCTGCATATGGTATAGCGAGTTTAACATACCTAAAAAAAAATTAAGTAAATATTTTATTAAAGTACAACATATATGCGGAAACAAGACACCAATAATAAGGATGGTTTGATGACTTTTCATGTAGCGCATAAATCCAGATACAGAATAAATCTTATATACCATAATGGTTATGCTTGTAGCGCCACAAACAAGCATCTGCATGGCAAACAATTACAGTAGGAGGTCAGCTGCGGGTGGGAGAGTTAGTGATGCAAGTTCATCAATTGAAAGCCCATGAAGGTAACTGTGTTAGTCTGTTTTCACACTGCTACAAAGAAATACCCCAGAATGAGTAATTTAGAAAGGAAAGAGGTTTAAGTGACTCACAGTCCCGCACGGCTGAAGAGGTCTCAGGAAACTTATAATCATGAGGGAGCAGCAGGCATGTCTTACATGGTGGCAGAAGAGAGAAGAGAAAGCGTGTGAAGGAGAAACGGTCAAATACTTATTAAAGCGTCAGCTCTCGTGAGAACTCACTACCACGAGAACAGCATGGAAAAAACTGCCCCCAGGATCCAGTCACCTCCCACCAGGACTCTCCCTCGACATATGGGGACTATTGGGATTAATATTCGAGATGAAATTTGGGTGGGGACACAGAGCCAAATCATTTTTGTAATTCTGGAAGGAAAGTTGGTAAATCTCCATTTTACTGGTACAGAAGCCGAGCCACTGGGAGTAAGAGTAACTTGAATCCCATAGCTACTAAATGGAGGAGATGAGATTTATTCCCAGTCAGCCTCTGGAATCAATGCATTTCCAAGAAGAAAAAATAACAGCTGGGGCAGCTAGCAGAAGACCAGGGCATCTCTAAAAGCTTGATGACCAGAGAGTAGGAGACAGGAAAGAGCTGTCAGGGAGGGCAGGAAGGCTTGTCTGTTAGAAAGGAAGGGCAGAAAATCAGTTCATGGTAATTTCTACAAAAATCAGACCAGTGGGGAAACTAATAATGCTAAGTCTGATGCCTTTGTGCACTCATATTTCATGCGGACCCAAAAGGTGGCCTTGAGGCTGATGAACCAGGCATGCAGAGCATAAGAGCTCTGACTTCCTTCAGAAGTCATGGTTGGCTCAGACGAATGGGGTCTAATTTATTTTTTATTTTATTCTCTTTTGGGGGGTTGGGGAGACAGAGTCTTGCTCTGTCACCCAGGCTGGAGTGGAATGGCACAATCTCAGCTCACTGCAACCCCTGCCTCCCAGACTCAAGTGATTCTTGTGCCTCAGGCTTCCAAGTACCTGGGACAACAGGTGTGTGCCACCATACCTGGCTAATTTTTGTGTTTTAGAAGAGATGGGGATTTGCCATGTCGGCCACGCTGGCCTTGAACTCCTGACCTCAAATGATCTGTCCACTTCGGCTTCCCAAAGTGCTAGGATTACAGGCATGAGCCACCGTGCCCAGCCGGAAATAGGTTTAATTTATATTTTCTTCATATTTACCAATTCATAGGGGAGCATGGCACTACTCATAATCCTCCTACATAGAAAAGTGGACCCCCAAATCTCCACTGAATGATCAAACTTCTTTTCCTTTGAAACAGGTGTTCTGGGGGAACCATGCAGACAGCACATTCTCGGAAAGGGGTGCCTCTAGAGAACATAGGGTACATGTTAAGGACCTTGGGCGATGAGAGCAGAAAGCCACCTTCCAAAATGAACTCAGCTGGGGAGGATCAATCTTGGGAAGTTTTTATGGAAACCATTTCATCAAAGATATCTACCTAGGAATTTTGCTTTCTTAATTAACTCAGTGGTAGCACCATGCTATGCTACGAGGACTGGTTGTGAGACTTGTAAATACCGCTCTTTGGCCATTAACCCTGTTGGGTTGCTGTAAGCTTTTCAAGTATTGAGGCCACGTGGTTGGTCATCTCTACATGCCCAATGCATAATAATGTGCCTGGTAGATAAGAGACGTTAAACAAATGCTTAACGAATGCATAATATGTGTCCTGGATATTCTAGGCCAATATCGCTTTAAATAGTCCACTGATTATGTACACTGGTTTACATTCAGAAACATTGATCATCAGATAGTTAGGTCTGAATGTGGCTGATGGAATTTCTGGGAATTTTCAAGAGATATTTCTCAGCAGTAGCCACTATACCAGCCAGTTTTCATAGTCCTTCTCAATCATTCATTCATTTTAGTAAAGGTAGAATTAGACAGAAGTGAGGAATACTCCAAAAGTGAAGGAAGCAAGAATTTTATAGAACCTGAAACTGGTTCCTGGGCTTCATATTTCAGCAACTTCAGAAATTTTTTTTAAGACACTTAAGATGTTTTTAAACAGTCATTTACTAAAGTCTTACTAAGTAACAGGCTTATACTCTGTGTTAAGAATACAAAAAATCAGTAATATAGAACACACAGACCTGAAAATAGATAAATTACAACCCAAGTTGGATCGTGTTTGTATTATGTAAGATGTCTTCGGTAACAAGTAACAGAAAAGAAATAGCAGCTAAAACAATAGAAATTTTTGATAATCTCACAAATCATGAATGACTGAAAGCAGGTGGTTCCAGATTGGTCCAGCAGTTGAATGATATCATCAAAAACCCAATACTCTGTCTTTTCACTATTCTATCCTTTGTCCTTGGATTATTGCCTCACCGTCAGGAAATGATTGCTGTAGCTCCAAGTAACATGTTTGCACACAATTGCATTTAAGTCAGGCAGGAAGAAACTTACTGCTTCTCTTCATAGCAGGAAACAAAAATCTTCTGAGATGAGCTGACCAATAGACTGTTTCTTTGGTCTCATTGGTCAGGACTGGGTCACTTGCCCATTCCCAAATAAATCATGAGAAAAGGGAAATGGGATTGCTATGGTTGATATAAGCCAATGATGCTTCATTCTCTCAGGCTGGAGGAAGGGCTGCATCTTCCTTAAGCATGTTGCTACCACCTAAAAAGCTGGATCCTATAACCTAAAGAAGGTGAAAAGAAGTGCAGAGGAGAAGTTAAGCAACGTGTTTGCCACAGGATTAAGCACAGAGTTGAGTGAATCGATGTACCTTATTTTTTCTAATTTGATGCCACATCTTTAGCTCCACCTTCCTTCTCTAGCATAAGGCCAACAGCCCAAGGCTACTAGAAAACCTGGCCTTTCCCTGACACTGCGTTGGCCTTGATTGCCTCAGTGCAGAAAGTAAAACAAGCTGTCAGACTCAGCTCCTGCCCTATCCTTGGTCTCTAATAACCTCAAGCTTTCACAGTTCCAACCAAGTTTAAAATTCTAGCTTGTTGAATCGAGTGGGAGTTTAGAATGCTGGAGGGGGAGGGTGAAAGTCAGGTCAACAACAGAGAAGTAATTTTTCTTCCTCAAACACAAGCCTCACATCAGGACTCTGAACTCAAATGGCCTCTCCTGAATGAGAGGGAGGGGGACACATGTAGGGAAGGCCAGGAGAGCCCAGCCATGGGTGTAGCTGAATGTTGTTTCAGATTAAAAACAAGATTTCTCTCCCTGAAGACCACTGGGTACTACTTTCAGGATTTACATAAGAGAGAAGTAAGGGGCAGCCTCAATCTGGGGAAGAAAGTTAAGGAGGTGATTGGAGGAGAACTCTGAAGGATGTGACTTTATTCAACACATCCGTAGACATTGGTTTCACAAGGCCACAATCAATATAATAGATGATAGGATTGATACGATTCAATATGATTTAATGTAATATAATAGTATAGCAGTACAATATAATGATATCAGTAACCAAAATTCATTGATCACTTGCTGTGTGATTAACATAATGCAAAGTATTGTCCTTACAGGATTACTTATAATCATATTCACAGGCAAGTTCCATTATAACCCAGAGGCTAAGCAACTTGTGCAAAGCCACTCTGTTAAACAATGGACTCAGGACCTCGGGGCTGTTTGCCTCTAGAACCCTCCTCTTCACCACTTTGCTATTTTGCCTCCATTTGTCTCTTTCCTACCAGGGTGTTAATGCATATAGTGATGAAACAGCCAAGTGGTGACTACAGACGAAGACACTGAGCGAGATTTAGTTAAAAATAGCTCACCGGAATAGATATTTTGCTAGCTAAAAA